TGGAGATTTCAGTACTAGAATGAGGCATAAATGTATGGATGCCCTGCTGATAGTAATTGTTTTGCAAGAAACTGAAGAGATTCTTTGCCTACTGAACTAGCCATCCTACTGTAGCTGCTTTTACTGTTTTACAGCAGAGTTTTGACTATTGTCTTCATTTCTTGAAGCTATTAGATGATCTTTGCTGAACGATTTACGTTTGTGAGGACTGAATGCCATGCCGTGAATCAGCAGCAGGGCAGGCCATATGTTAGCCTGATCTTGTAAAGTGCTAGGCAGCCTGAGCACCCTGGTGAGGCTTAGCTTCTCTGAACCTTGGGTTCATGTTTCCAAGCCATTTAATATGCAAACCTAAGCCTGCAGGACTGTAACATTTACTAGATTGCTGGAGAATTCTATCTTGTGGGAAGATGAAATGCACGTGCAGACAGACAGGCATAAAACCATTGTATCAAGACAGTTTGTTCTGTGCTGTGCCTGGTTTTGAAGATGTTCCTTAGTTCTGAAAGTTTCTGAAGGTTTTGAAATGTGTTCCCTAGTTCTGAAAGGATGAGAAGGCTGCAGCTGCCTTATGGACCTCCTCCTTCAACCACCTACCTGTTTGTTTTGTTTTTTTTTTCTCATTTATGAGGCATTAAGCTTTCCCAGATGTAAGCCAAATTTTACTACATGTCATTCTGCATATACAAGGTGCATGAATAAATACCTTTACCAGTATCTTGCTTGTTTACATGAAAAAGTTTGGCAGTTCTGCATACCAGCAGTTACTTGCAGAGTTTTAGAAATGCCAGCTTTAACTGGAGTAGGAGAGTAGCTTTGCAGAAAGCTTTATTATATTGGGATTGGAATTGGACATGCTGGAATAGTTCTCTGTCTTTAGAAGTTAATTTATAGCTCGACTTAATCCTTTACATGCCCTCAAATCCGGAGTATGTTAGATGACTGTCTACAGAAATACCTTGGACTTCAGTGTATTAGCCCTCAGAGTTTATTTTGGGAAAATACAAAAAGAGACCCTAAAAAGGGATGGACTGCCTCACTGGTAAATGGTTAACAGCATGGAGATTTGATTACAAATGGGTTACAGAAAAATCATACTGTCTTCTGATGATATGAACAGCTTGGTGAATAAAGGTGATAGTGAAGAAGGTGGAATCAACCCAGAAAAATCACATGCCTTTGCTCTGGCACCAGATCAGAAAATAACAGTTGGACATTTTCTTGCTGACTTATTTGAAGACAGGGTGAGGTACTGAAATAACCTGAGAATTAAACAATGTTTTTTAATCTGTTGTTTTTTCATTTCTGGTAGCTCAATGCTAGATTCAAGACACCACTTTATTACCTTATCTATGTGTACTGGTGTTGGTGAACTTTGTAAAAATCTATTCCTAGGGCTAGCATGCCCTGGCATGCCAGCCAAGGTTAAAAAAGAAAAAAAAAGTAGGCATGTCTGTAATCATAACTGATTGCTTATTTGCATACAGTCTGTCCTTCCTTCCTTCTGGCATACTTTTTTACATTAATGCTGCAATGTTTTCTCTGTCAAGTAAAGTAATCTAATGAAAATTAATGTGTTTGTGAGGCCCACTACTGGTTAATTTTGCTATCATTTAGAATACTTGGATTTCTGTTCAGGATTTTATTGAGTTTCTGCCTGATACGTTATCTCCTCAATAGCTCTCCAACTCCATAAATGCTTGATGGATTCTGAAATGTCAAGGTAATGTGGAAGAGACATGGAGCAAGCAGTCAGGATATTATCATAGCTCTTCTTTTGCTGTGGGATACTGAATTTCAGTCACTTAAGGATAAAAGAAGTGAATGTTCCTGTATTCTATGGGAAAATGTCTTGGAAATAGATTAAAACCTGTTAAAATAATTTGCCTGGATTTAGTGGATCTGTCAACTGAAGCAGTGCAAATAACTTAAGTCTTGAGACTGATTAGTAGCGGGGGGGC